CCGCATTTTCTACAAACCAGACCAAACAATTAGTAATTAGGCAAACATAGTTCCAACTTTATAGTAATTCACAGCAAACGGGTCACCCCAGATATTTTTCCGTTTTTCAATGTCTATCACTGTCCCTTGTGACAACACTGACACAGACTGCAATCTAAGCAAATTGAACACACACATTAAACCATAGCGCAGCAGTCAGATGTGCCAACACAATCAGTCTGGTACTATAAATGCAGTTCATCATCGATGGAAGCTGCAATGGCAACAGATCAGTAGCTGCACTTGCAATCAATCACATAAGGCACCACCAGTTCTCTGGCAACAGGCCAGCTGTCATTTCTGAATCTGCAGTTCACAATACAAGCCACGGTGGGCCCAGTTAAAATACATTCTAAATAAAAGCCGCAACTCACAGTGTCGCAACACGCATTTTATTCAGTAGCTGGGCAGCAGAACTATATCCTTTCAGTCAACTCATGGAGAGAATGAAACAGCTGACTATTGTCAGAATCAAAAACTTGCTGCAAATAAGAATATTAAGCCTGCCTATCCACTATACTGACCATGGTATCTCGCTTGACGGATATCAGATCAAATGTGAAGACACTACCACTACTGTGACTGCTGCAAAGCAAATCAAAGATGGAAAACAGACTGATGCCTCTGATTTAAGAAGATCTGTTGTAGTGTCTGCTTAAGATCAGACAAAACAAATCAAAGATGGAAAACAGACTGATGCCTCTGATTTAAGAAGATCTGTTGTAGTGTCTGCTTAAGATCAGACAAAACAAATCAAAGATTGAAAACAGACTGATGCCTCTGATTTAAGAAGATCTGTTGTAGAAATAAGCTACTGTGTCTGCTTAAGATCAGACAAAACAAACTATTGGTTCTGCTTCAGATCAAATCAAGCAAACAAAACAGGCTAATATCTCTAGACATAGATAGAAAGCAAGCTTTTTATTTGCCTGTTTGGGATAAAGCAAAAGAATTGTTTGTTTCTGCTGCATGTGAGGTCAAAGATACAAAACAAGATAATGCCTCTACTTTGAGAAGATCAAACATAGAAAACAAACATGTGGGTCTACTCCAGATCAGTCAAAACAATCCATGGTCTCTGCTTCAGATCAGATCAAACATACAAAATAATCTGTGTCAACTTTAGATCAGGTAATATGATTTATTGTGTCTGCTTCAGATCAACTTCATAAATATACAAATCTATTGTCTCTGATTTTGCGTTTTAAAAAAAACAGTGCTTGGCATGTTATGTTGTGGTTTACAACTATGCTGTGATATTTGCATTGCTTATAAGTCTAATGGAATCCTGGAAACCACACAGGGACAACAGACATATAATCAGACTGTTACTGGCACCATCAGGATTGAAATGGAACTCTTTACTGGCTGCTGAAGATGAGGATGGAGCCCTTATGGAAATGTTCTGAGTGCTGTATGTCAGTTTGTAACTCAAATCAATCAGACCCCTGTGGGTTCTGGGGCCTCCATTTTGTGTGTGTGGGGGGGGGGGGGAGAGAATAACAACCCACTCCCACTTAACACACATGTTATATGTTTATATAAGGCAACTAATTTATAATTTTTTGCAACTGAATATGTTGGGGCAAAATGTGCAGATATCACAGCCTAGCTTAAACCCCAACACACCGTGAACATTCCCCTTTTCAGGGTTAGTTAGTTAGTTAGCTAGTTAGTCCACTGATTTGAAACCATGACCTTCAGGCTGGCATGCTACACCACCATGACTCTCGAACTATGAAAATGGGCCCTTTTTTTTAGGTGGATGAGCTGAATTATTTCTTTTAGTCCCAAGGAACATTTCCTACATTCATAGGTTCCTACCTAGAACTCAATAAATGCAACATGTGTTAGTTATATGTGTCTCTTTACTATCCATTGGGCCTCTGATGCTAAACCCCCTGAGACTAAAAGAGTTAACAGCTGACGTCACAGCACTTTATTAGCGCTGAGTTCCCATCTTGACAGCCAGCAGAGTTCCAGTTCTGATGCTACTTTTTATATCAATTTATCTCACAAACACTTAAATCATGAGCAAATAAATATACCAAAAATGTATAGTCAATGCAAACTGACAGAAACATATCAACTGCATGGCACATTGTGTGTAAATAAATAAAACACATAAATAATTGTCAGATCAAGGTACACAAAAATGTATAAATTACATATAAAAAGTTCTTATTAGTGGATGTGAAAACAAATATATTAATAACATGAGAAATTATATGCAAATAAATTACTAAAACAATAAACATATCATATCAAAGTACAAATTTATAAATATAATAAATTCTCTGATAACAAAAATGTTTAAATTGTTACAAAATAAATCAGTAAAATTCAGTAGGCACAAAAACAATTTTTTTTGTTTATGTTGCCAAAATGGCTTACAAAAAAAAAATACTAAATCTGACTGCCTAGCAATTACCTTATTTATTCATTCATTTATTCCCAGCATGCAATCTTCTATTAAACAAATCATCTTCTTCTTCTTTCAGTCTCCCTGCCAGTGGTTTTCAGATGAGAAGGCCAAATGCCTCTATAAAGGCTGTGGTGTAACTCATGTCCCTCCACTGATCCATACAACTTGGTTTTCATTGGAATGGTACCTGGCCACACCTGAGAACTCTCTACTGCATGTAGAGTGAATGTCTGCAGCACATGCTGAGTATTCTGCTGTGCCTGTCCACACTGACAAAGTTCTGAGTCAGCAATCTTAAACATGTGGTTTAAGTGAATCAGACGCATATTCTATTTTGGTAAAAGTGGAAAAATGTTGTGTGTAAAAAAATAATAGCAGAAGGCATAGTACCAGGAAAGAGGGGCAGGGGCTGACCAACACGAAGATGGGCACAGGATATAAGTGACTCCTTGAGTATGAAAGTACAAGAGGCGGGAGAGCTGGCTAAAGACCGAGTTTCTTTCAGACAGACCGTGATAAAAGTGACGTTCTGCAAAAGGACCTGCTACATGATGATGAAGCCTGTTATATAAATCTGTCACTACCAAAGGAGATTTAGTATCTAAATTTAGCCCTTAGATGACTTTGGTGAGTGCCAATGGTAGGTCCATGTATAGATATGAAACTTATGAAAGTTTCTCTTTGCTACTCAACAGTGGCGCCTTTGATAACTACAGCTTTTGATTTTTATTTTGTCTAGTGTGTTCTACTATTTATTCTTTTTATGAGTGCCAATCAATACATGTGAATCAGTTACTTTTACTCTAATTGAGGATGTTAACTGCTGTGATAATAATCCTCACTAATTACTTTGAGCGATCAATGTCCTGGCAAAATACTAAAACTGAAAATCCTTCTCATACAAAATAATAGTTGATGGTTAAAAGTGAAGAACATCAACTGCACTGCTCCAGATTTTATCCCATATGGTACAGTCTCCTTATAAAACAGCTAGCTATCCACCTGCCAAAAACATCACACAAAGCACTAACACTAAAGCTGTGGTGACAATTCTCAAAGGTTTCTATAATAATTGCACTCTTGAAATGAACAAAGTCTGCCAAAGTTAAAGAACCAATGCATGAATCAATTGGCTTGATCATTTTGGCATGCAGACCCCCCCCCCCCCCCCCCCCCCCCCCAAAAGCTACAAATAGTTTGCTGCATGTGCTGAAGCAGAATACTTGATAGCAGGCTTACATGTTACTTCTTCTACTTCAGAAGTTCTGGACCAAGACCAAAGTCCAGGAATAGACAAACAACTAGAACTTTCTGCCATAATTTACAGCCAATGAGTTCTAAGAAGAAGGTGAAGAAAGATCCAAAGAAGTTAAAATAATGATATTATGGACAGGAGGACTAAGACTAACAATTCTGATTAATGAGTTGATGTAAGAACTATGTGCGATAAAAGAGTCAGAAATATGCATTCAAGACTAATGATGTATTGCATTGTACTGATAGAGTTAGGATTTAAAATAAAGTTTTTCATCTTTTTGTTTCCACTTCTTTCGCCGCGTAGGGTCTCAATAGAGGCACACCAGGACTATGTTTTCTTTTTTTCTGGTGTTATGCAATGGCAAACAGTACATGCATGCTTTTAAGGTATCATTTATTTTCAGCACTTCTGTAATTGACACTTTATGGCGAGTACCAGAACCTCATTTAGAAACTTTGTGGTGAGTTGCAGCATTTTCTCTTCTGGGATAAAAAGTCCTGGATACAAGATTCTCATTCCCACTTTTCTGGCTGCCTCAAACATTGACAACTGATACCATAACAAAAAAATTTACACATGATTTACACATGATCAACTGTTATATCACATTAGGTTATTTGGTCTGTCTGTGTGAAGCCCACCTTTCAGGCTGCAACCTGACAGTTTGACCACTTCTTAAACTCCAAGAATCTCACCTTGGAATTGCAAAGGCCAGATACTTGTTCAGCCTCCCAAAAATGTAATTTTTAAATTAACGGCTACACCTGTAATCGCTACACCAAGTAGGCTTTCCGGAGAAGGCCTGGTAGGTTATTTGGTCTGCAGGCTAATGTGAAGTGGTCTTTAAACATGCTACTCAACCACAGGCCTTACTCTGCAACTATTATTAGGTCATTGATTCAATGGTTTCCCCTTACCTTGCATATCCACAAATGGGATTCAAACATACACAACTATCAAGTCATTTATTCCACAAGACTAGGCTAACAAACTTTTTTTAACACATCAGTCAAGCGTTTAAATAAATCTAACATGCAACTGCTCATAAATATACTCTTGGTATATGAATGTGGTGGCTTTCCCTTGTCCTCCCAATCCAGATAAAGATGCAGGCATAGTCATCTTGTATAGTGCAGTCATGAAACAATCAGTTTGTTGAGCTTCAACAATAAATATAAATATAGAATAGTTACAGCAAGAAGAAACAGTCAGATGACTTAAAGTAGCTTAATCACCTTAAAGACCAACAGAAGACAGCTGGAAATGGGAAATCTATGATTACAAGTCCATGCTAGAGTGTCGCTTCATGTGCAAAGCAAGGTGGTCACTTCTGGAGAAACACCTGGGGCAGAAACGGCACTGAAATGGTTTGGCACCGGTATGTTTTCTGTAGTGGCGAGTCAGCTCATCAGATCTGGCAAATCTCCACTCGCATCCCTCCCACGTGCACTTGTATGGTTTTTCACCTGGTAATGTAAAAACAGATAAATGTTACACAGTTCTTAAAATTTTACAAGTCAAATGAAGTAGCCAATTAATACAAATGCAGCCCATAAGTGCTTTCCTTCCTTTATCCAAAAATATGTTGTGTGTGTGTATGTGCATGTGTGCACGTGTGTGTGCTTTACATTTACTTAGCCTTGATAGACTTACATTCTTCTTCTTCTTCACCACTCTGAATACTTACTTAAGGTTCTTTGCTTCAGATATCACCTTTGTGACTGGCCTTCTCTTTCCACTTAGTAATTCCATGTTTGCAGGTCTGCCTGTATATTCTCTCTCCATTGTCTGTTGGTCTACCTCGTAGTTTGCTCTTTTTCAACTCTTCCATGTATGCCGTCTTTGTCTTTCTGGTATTTTTTGTTTTTGTGGGGAAAAATATTTGAACCTTGTTCAACCCTGCTGCTGTTGTTACTTCTCACTCTCCAATCTATGCTGTCTGCATCTCTGATAGATCCAAAGATTAATCGTAAGACTGTCCCCAAAAGTTTGTAATAAAGCTTCCTCTCTTAGCTGTACTCTTAGGTTTCAGAGCCACACAGATCCTTTGCAAAACGTCGCTCTCATCACTGCACACCAGAAATTGTTGTAATTCAATGTTTAGTCAAATGTCATATTGGCCTGAAGAGATAATGTAGGGTACAGTTTCCGGGAAACGAGGTGAAACAGACCTCTGCGAAGGTGGAAACAGACCTCTGCGAAGGTGAAAACAGACCTCTGCGAAGGTGGAAACAGACCTCTGCATACGTGGAAACAGACCTCTGCGAAGGTGGAAACAGACCTCTGTGAAGGTGGAAACAGACCTCCGCGAAGGTAAAAACAGACCTCTGCGAAGGTGAAAACAGACCTCTGTGAAGATGGAAACAGACCTCTGCATAGGTGGAAACAGACCTCCGCGAAAGTGAAAACAGACCTCTGCGAAGGTGAAAACAGACCTCTGCGAAGGTGGAAACAGACCTCCGTGAAGGTGAAACAGACCTCTGCGAAGGTGGAAACAGACCTCCGTGAAGGTGGAAACAGACCTCCGCGAAGGTGTAAACGTATAATAAACAGATTTAGCAATGCCCAACATTTTCCGACCTCCGTCTAAAACTGAAGGTTTTGTAATTTCAACACTAAACTTTTAAAAACTTTGAATTACAATTATTTTCACCTTCCTCACGTGACTACAAAAAAAAAAAAAACACACACTAAATCAGTGTTTCTCATGTCGGTAGTTTATGGAACACATTAAAAAGATCTGTGTACTTCTTCTTTGATCCTTCGGTTAGAAAACTTATATCAGGAGGCCGGTAGTCCTTATGAAAACCAGTGCCATACACCTTTGTCTTCACTGAGTAGACTTTGAGTAGATTGCTTCTATGTTTGCAGCGTACATCTGACAGTGTTGAAGCACATGCTCAGCTGTTTCTGATGTCATGTTGCAGGGACACATTTCTGCAATTTCCTACACCAAAAGACTCAAAGATATGTTGGCGAAGTTCTTTGTGCCATATGTTTAGTCTGAGTTTAACATACTGTCCAGCTCTAGGAAGACCATAAAGGATATGTGATATCATTTACAAAATTGTGCACAGTCAACTTTAAGATAGGCGAATCAGCTATGTGCACATGTGGACTGAAGCCTAAAACACACAGATCACATACTCAAAGACCGTCCCATATACAATATATTAAGGCAAAACTTCTGGCCAAGAGAAACCACTAGATGAAGCGAAAACTGTACAGGTCGCTGAGGAAATGAATTACAAAGGACAGTGAAATTCACACTATAGTAGCATATATAGATAATCTATTTCGGGCAAACAAAAGAAGAAGAAAAGGTAAAAAAAAAAAAAATTTTCCCAAAAAAGAAAGAAAGAAAGAAAGAAACTTATAATGCAATCTTTTTTTAATGATTTGATTATTGAGAAATTAAGGGTTCGTGCCAGCCTTGAAAAACAAGAAAGACCCACTGATGTTTGATAAACTGAGAACCACTGCCTAAAAGGAACTATATTTGTCCATAGCTCTGGGATAATAACAATACAAAGGTGCAAACATGTACAACAGATCAGCAGGGGAAGACAGCATCTGACATAACCATCATAGTTACACGCTGACACAAGCTTTAGTATCAATTACTGTACAAATGCAAGTAAATTATGGTAGTTGTAGACCAACAAGCAAGGATAGTGCAGGGTAACTGCATGTTTGCGTGAAATTTCAACACAGATAGCTACTTTCAACTGACACTGACTGTGCTTTCGATGACAGGTTAATGTCATACTGAAATGTTTAACGCTAGTTTGGCCTTTCAAAACTTTTTCAAAATGGATCTGAATAATTCTTCTTCTCTCTTCCCCAGTTGTTCTCCATTCTCTTCCATTTCTTAGGAGCAGAATCAGCACAATGGTTACATGCTGGCCTGGTGGCTCAAAGGTATGGGGTTTAAAGCTGCAACACAGTGGATTAAAAAAAATATTGTAATATTTTACTGGACATCTAACTGAACCGAGCCTTAAATGTATAGCAGATTTTAATCTGTGAAGTATAATGGCATGGGGACAAGTGGCACACAACCAGAAACCTGACTCAAAAGCCGCGTGTGTCGAACGTCATATTGACCTGGGGACAAGTGGCACACAACCAGGACCCTGTCTCAAAAGCCGTGGTATGTCAAACGTCATATTGGCCTGGGGACAAATGGCACACAACCAGAACCCTGTCTCAAAAGCCGTGGTATGTCAAACGTCATATTGGCCTAGGGACAAGTGGCACACAACCACAAATCTGACTCAAACGCCTCGATATGTCAAACGTCATATTGGCCTAGGGACAAGTGGCACACAACAACAAATCTGACTCAAACGCCGCGTTATGTCAAACGTCATATTGGCCTGGGGACAAATAGCACACAACCAGAACCCTGTCTCAAAAGCCGCGATATGTCAAACGTCATATTGGCCTAGGGACAAGTGGCACACAACCAGAACCCTGTCTCAAAAGCCGCGATATGTCAAACGTCATATTGGCCTGGGGACAGCTGGCACACAACCAGAACCCTGTCTCAAAAGCCGCGATATGTCAAATGTCATATTGGCCTGAAGAGATAATGTAGGGTACAGTTTCCGCGAAGGGGGAAACAGGACACTAAAGATACACTCTCTATGAAAGAACATAGGGCTGGAGAATTGGCTAAAGACAGAGATAATTTCTGCTGTCCGGGGATGAGAGCGACGTTCTTCTTCTTCTTCTTCGCGTTCACCAGCTGTACACTCTGGCGGAAAGTTCTGGTTCCACTACTGAACTGCAGTCCTGCTCCAGAACCTGAGTGTTGCGTGTGCATCAGTTTTACAGATCTCATTCTCTTGAATACAGACTGTTGGTTCCTTGCCTCTCCAGCAGATGCACTCCGACTTCAAAGGAAGCTCCCCAATTAGTCGACCCTTACGACATGCTTTTGGGGAGGCAGTGGGTCTATTCTTGTTTTCCCACAATGGGGCCCCGGAACCCACAAGGGGGGAGCGACGTTCTGTAAAGGATCTGCTGATTGATGATGATACTGTCCAATAGATGTTGTTCATATTATCCATCATCAGCTGACTGTCGTATGCAAACATCGGTCTCGCACAATATGCATTATGCTTCAATGTCATGAAAAGCGGCTTTACTTACTGATTTTCAAATCTTTTGTGAAAGTCTTATTTGTTTCGCATTTTTTCTTTTATTCCTTCCTTATTTCTCGGTTCTCAATCTATTCATTTGCTTTACTCGTCTTCTTGTTTCATTATTTTGGATTTCATAACATAAAAAAAAAGTCCTTAGGAGAACATGAGAACTGAAGTTTTCAGCAAAACATACAAGTATAATTAAAGAACTCACGAGTATGAGAATTTAATAATTCAGCATTTCTCAATATAATTCACGAGTAGGATGACATTATTTATACTCACCACAGATTTACCAAATAAAACTCATCAGTATGCGAAAATAAAGCATTAGTATTTCTCAGTAAAACTCACCAGTATGACAAAACTACACAATATTTCACTAAAAAAACTCACCAGTATGACAAAACTACACAATATTTCACTAAAAAACTCACCAGTATGACAAAACTACACAATATTTCACTAAAAAAAACTCACCAGTATGACAAAACAACAAAATATTTCACTAAAAAAACTCACCAGTATGAAAAAACTACACAATATTTTCCTAATAAAACTCAACAGTATGACAAAACAACACAATATTTCATAATAAAACTCAACAGTATGACAAAACTACACAATATTTCCTAAAAATACTCGTATGATAAAACAACACAATATTTCCTAATAAAACTCACTAGTGTGATAAAACAGCACAGTATTTCCTAATAAAACTCACCAGTATGAGTACGTAAATGTGCTTTCAAGTGTGAACTCTTTGTATAGATTTTCCTGCATCCATTGTATGGGCATTTGTGAATCCGCCGCCTGTTATCCGGACTAGCGTCAACTTTTGTTCGCTGAGCTAATGGTGGTACAGGAGGTCTCTGGACTAAGCTCTGTGGAGAATGAGACCCTGACACTAGAGCTGTTGAGTGGCCTTGTGAAATGTGCACATTATGATGATGCTGAGCGTGCTGCGGATGCTGCAACGCACGGAATTTTGCAGTATCAGCTGAACTGAGCATTAGTTTATGCTTGTGGGCAAAATCTGCAGAATACGACCGGACCGACTCTGTTCTTCCTGGCTGAGCAACTAGCTTCAAGGCAAATGGATCGTTGGATTTATACCTTGATGGAGATATAGGTGGGTCGCTGATATTACTGTCCCATGAAACTCTGCTAGAAGATGAGCTAAAACTGTTGAGACTGACGGCATCGGATAGTCTGTCCGACAAAACGTCACTGATATTAAGTTTTGCCAGTTCCTCCAACCTGTCACAATGTTCCACTTCTTCATCTAAGTCACTGTCATCATCTTCACAATCGTGGATTTCATCACAGATGTCTGGAATATCATCGGGATCTATTTCCGAGTCTGGAACTTCAAAATCTACATACTCTGTAGCCCCATGACTACTGAACGGTGAGCACGAACTCTCGTCGTTTAGACTTAGTCTGTGTTCGGCAGTGCTGCTAGGATTCAAACTATGTTCTCTACAGGATGTATCGCCCAAGTCATATCCGTCATGGTTACCCGAGGCCTCTGTGTTGGAGTGTTTCCATAATGCATTGTGAGGATTCTTCATTTGATGAGAAAGTTTTTTAAAGGATGTCAGCTTGGGCTCATTCTTCAAATATCGCTCCATTTCCAGACAGTTCTGTGAAAGAAAAGGACAAAGCATCAACGTACAGAAGTAATCTTGACATATGTCTGTGATTTGGTAGTGTAAGCAGTTTCATACTTCTTTAGGTTCCAGACATCCTGTAAAATTATACGTGTCTTGAAAACAGGAGTTAAAGTAGCACATGGAATATAGTGGTTCACACAAGGACTATCCAACTGGCGGGCCAGATACGGTCCATAGAGGTCTTCAAGGTCTAGAATATAGTTAGTGGATCACTGCCAAATGCATTGTACTAATGATCTTTCTAAACTGCAGCTGCAGACGATTTTTCTTGCGTTGGTTATCGATAGTGGTACCGAGAGCTGACCATTGAGGGAAATGGCAAACTACTGAACGTTAATTGCGCCTAGAAAACAAAAACAAAAATGTCCACAGACAAAATGCCTGTCACCCAAAACCAACAATAAATGATGAAGAAACTGAAACTGTCACCAATTGTGAATAATTAGGCTTTATAATAACCAGATCAGCAAAGGAAACTCTTTAACAGATATCAAAAGGAGCATGGCTAAAGCAATACAAAAGATTAAACAGCATTAACAGTCTATGGATAATTGCCAGCAAGGAAATCAAAGTTAAACAATTTTAAGAGCATACATCTTCCCTTAGCAACATACGGATATTAGTCGTGAATTATCACACAATCATTCAGAAAGCAAAAAAGGGGGCTTCCGAGTTGAAATGCTATAGAATGTGTCTCAAAATACCGTGCACAAAATTAAAGAAAATTGGCTGGTCAACAGCATCGTGTCTTTGAAACTGAAACGTGTTGGCCATATCAAGCGCCACGGCGTCTTGGAAAGGTGGTGGGGTGGGGGATATTAAAAGGCGTGATGCCAGGAAAAAGGAACAGGCGCCGACGAAGATCTGCACAGGATGTAAGTGACACCTCAAGTAGGAAAGAACACGAGGCGAGGCAGCTGGCAAGAGACCCAGTTTTTTCAGGCAGGCTGTGAGGAGGTGCGACGTTCTGCAAAAGACCTGCTACATGATGCTACACGATTGTAAATTAAAGAAATTTAAAAAAAAAATACATGACCCAAAGATTTAAAAAAAAAAAAAAAAAACATAAAAAACTTTAAAACGTTTTATGGAGCAATAATTAATATAAGATAGGTTCTTTCTTTGGTACAAAATACGGTACCAATACTTTTGCAAAGAGGATTCCTCGTGTGTGGGTTCGGGCGCCCTATTATACGGAAAACAAGAATAGACCCACTGCCTACCCAAAATCATGTCGTAAGAGTCGACTAATTGGAAGCTTCCTTTAAAGTCGGAGTGCATCTGCCTGAGAGTCTAGGAACCAGTAGTCTGCATACAAATGAGTCAGATCTGAAAAACGGATGCACACGCAACACTCAGGTTCTGGAACAGGACTGCGGTCCAGAAGTGAACAACTAGAACTTTCCGCCAGTTTACAGCTGGTGAACGCGAAGAAGAAGAATAACCAGAAGGAGCAAAGAAGATTAAACAAAAAAAAAAGTAACTTTCACGCCAGTTTACAGGGCTGTGCAGAGCGATATTTTTACAGACCTTCAGCGTGGGTAATGTGGTCAGCATTACGCCGGCTGTCTTTACTTTCCCAGAGCCCATCCTGGTACCCATTTTAGGCTGGGTCGACCTGCGACGTCAACCACGAAGAAAATAAGTTGGGTTTCGAAAAAAACGCCTGAAAATTTAAAAAAAAAATGAAAATTATAAATGAAAAACGTAGAAACATAATTACAGACATAAATCATGTTACAGAATATATAAATCATATTACATGATGTAAATCATATTACATGTCCCCGGCGATTGGCGTCATGAGGAGACAGCCCCGGCCTGGCAGGTTGTTTTAATTATACATCCCATATACAGACAGTGTCAAACCGTAGCTGTAATCTCATTACAACTCTTAAACTTCAGGCGCTCAGTCTAAAGTAACGACGGCGGGGTGCCTGATGGCACAACAAACCCGTACATACACAAACATATGCTGGCTTAGATACACACACATATTCTGGAAAGTAGGTAGTTTATAATTTTTTATTTATTAAAAAATAAAAGTTATAGCAATAACAAAAGCCGTGCCACTGTCTTGTAATAGATAAATAATGCTTTTTAAAGATGCCAAGAGTGTTAAGCATGTGACATCACGCTGCAAACAAACAAGGCAAGGTCATAATGACAGTTGAAAGATGGCCACCCCACTTTTGACATGCACTAAAGAGAGGTAGCGTTATGTTTGTTAGTTTTTAAGTAGTATTTTTAATCAGTGAAGGATTAAGCCCCCTCGTACTTGATCTAGCTTCCGGGTAGGCCTAGCCTAAACTGGGTATCAGGAAATATCATAGGGGGGTAAAAGCGGCCGCAGTGATGTTGATCATATTACCCAAGGAGTATTTTTGCCTGTTGTTCCCTCCGATATGCTACCTGAAGAGCTGATCAATACTACCATATCAAGTTTCACTATGGATGACAGACCAACAGGGTAAATCTCATATACCCTGTTAAACATCCAAGGAACTTATATTTAAGGCACCCATAACGGCTACGTGAAATCAAGAAGAATGAAGAAGTAAAAGAAATGTCTAGACCAGTGCTTCCCAAACTTTTCTTAGGCAGGGCGCCTTTTTTTTTAATTAAAATTTTTCCCTAACCTAAGTAAAAGTATGAGTAAGAGTTCAAAAAAAAAAAAAAAAAATTAACTCGCGTATTTTCGAATATTTCGCGGCGCCCCTGTGGCAAACAGTGTGGAAATCACTAGTCTTGGCAATGACTAGTATCAAAGTTATAAGACAGAGAAAATGGCGCTATTTTGGAAACATTTAAGAAGAGACGACACATAATCACCACATAGACACTATTTGATCATGCGTTCGATTTCAGTTAGCCACGTTCCACCCTGAATAGGCAGCTGGCTTCGTCATTGTCAATATTAGTTATAATTATAGCAATAAATTGTGTTGATATTTCATTGCGGAGTGTTTGATGCTACTTTTGTATGTCTTTCACACCTATATGTCCGGCCAGGTCGTGTCCATCTCACTGTGCAGTTTTGGATCTGATTAGGTCATGTGTTTCTTATTGCGCCATCCGTTGGTGTTGACACTGAAATGGGAAATAAAGGGATTAAGGGAATGAGAACTTCTAAGAGAAACCCGAAGACGAACGGCCAGGAAAGAAGCTAAAAATGCTCGACTGCATTCCATTCATGAAACTGAAGTGATAGCACAAGATATAACGTAATGGAGAAATAGGCTGCAAGCCTTACGTGACACATAATGGCACAATAGGACATGAATGAATCAATTGATTAATTTTCAAAATGTTATTTTACAATAACACCCCACAGGCAGCCTAAAAGAAACTGTCCACCAGTCTTAATTACACCATAGCCTAGAACATACGAAGGAGCCGCAGGGTTAGTTTGACGTTAGTCTCCCTAAAAAAGTGTAGGTCACTTTCATTCGCAAGTTTGTTGGGCTGGTAGACTTCCCTGAACGTTACCGGTGTGTCCCGCTCTGTTGTTTGGTTTCTGTGATGTCTTGCATTAACGTGTTATTTTTTTTCTTCCGAGAAAGAGAATGCCTGTGACAACGGTTGCAACACTTTCTGGGGAAGTGGTGTTAGACCCAGTTACCCCATGTTTTTGAAGCGCTAAAAGCGCTGGCGTGCTGAAATATACAACACGCGATATCAACGGCATTGCGGAACACCCCCGTAAACTTTGTGCGAAGTTCACAGGGCTCAGGAACTACCAGTCAGAAGTGAGCTAGTGTGTATATTCGCGGGATCTGGGGAGACTATCATTACTTTTACCGAGCGGCCGTAGCGTAGCTGCTAAACACTCGCCTGTCGGCCCGAAGGTTGTGGGTATAAATCTGGATCGAGTAGGATCCCGCCCACTCCCCTTTTCAAACTACCCTGGCTCCCAGGTAGATCGAACCTAAAATGGGAAGTACAGGCGGCTGGCGTAATACTTACCGCATCATCAACATAGTGCCTTTCTGTCTATAATATGTTGGTCTAGCACTATGTACACAATACACCCAAGGGCGTGGAGAAGGGTCATTTATCGGTACTTTACTGGAATATACGAAGGCTAAGACTGCACACCACAAAGGTGGTGTTCACCATCTGACCACCTTTAGGTGATGTTCACCATCTGACCACCTTTAGGTGGTATTCCCCATCTGACCACCTTTACCTGTCAGGTAACAGTTTTAGCCACAGCACAGTAATTTGCCATCCTGCGCGAGTCTCAGAACAACGAACGTTGAGGCAGACTGTCCGCCCTAGCTGTTGCTATGTCTACAGCACCACCTATACAATTACCAGTGTGTGAAGAACGTTCTGACCTCCGAGACTGCCTATTGATAACTGCAAACTCGTGCTACTGGCTCCATGAGCTATCATCACGTGAGACATTACGTGGTTATTTCGCCAGAAGCTGTGGCATAAACTGGGGCAAAGTCTCTGCCATTACAGTTAAATGCTTTCGATGTCTGCTGCTTAAGGTCGCCGATAACAAACGGTGGAAAAGCCTGTCAAAGACATCCATTCAATAAGTACACCCACAACCACCGTCCGACCCCCCCCCCCTGCTCCCCCTCCACATGAGAGTAGGTTACTTGTCTAGAAGTAGGGTGCCCAAACTCACGACCGACTCTTAACATAATAACATAGATTTTCTGATAAATAGTTGCCTGCCGGAAATTGCATGAAAACAATGCCTTAAATTGTGGCAGCTGCCGTAGTCTACCGAATAGACGCTCGCTAGCTCACCAGCTAGACAGACAGAACTTCCCGAAGCCGAAAAGCAATTGATTTAACAAACGAAAAAACAACATGAGGACAGACAAACAGGCAGACAGACAGACAGACAGACAGACAGACACAGACAGACAGACAGACAGACAGCAGACAGACCGAGACAGACCGACAGACAGACAGACAGCCGACCGAGCAAGACAACAGACAGAGAGAGA